GTGGAAGACCGTGGCTTGAGCAACTACTTTCTTGATCAGAGAAGGCGCCCCTGTTGAATCCAATCTTTATCCAAACAGAGATCCATCAGCAACTTCTCATTGGTCTTGGCTCAAGATCTTTAATTACGCATGTCAAAACATAAATCCATCAGCAACTTCTCATTGATATTGAGGTTTGATATTCAAACTGGAAAAGTCACAGCTTAAAGATTTTATTTTCACATTATTACAACGTAGAACACTATATTGACCTTGACAAAAAACACATAATTTCTATGATAAATTGGATTCTTTCATAATAAAGGAACAAAATCACATGTATAGGAGAACTTATCATACGTATATAAACATATTGTCTTTTCTATAACAAAGAATGAATTTGCTTCTCACTGAAACAACTCCAAGGTTAAAAAAATAATGGACTTGGGACTTTGTCTGCGGTAAACTCGAATACCAGTTTGTTTCGCTTTAGCGATTAAGCTCATGGAGTAAAACTGTAAGAGTGACATCTTGTCATATTTCGAAGTAAGGAGAAACAAGCATTTGACGCGGTGGCGAAGAGATGCAAGGTAAGCGAGGAGGCATAGACGCTGGGTTTACCATCCTAGGTAGACAAAAGTGGATATCAATGATTAGGCAAGAAGACGACTTGGTATAAATCTTAGAAGATTTCCTTGAAGAGAAATAATTGTTATCCTGTTAACTAAATAATAACTGAAGCCAACTCTTTGTGAGAGACATTCAACTTTTATATATACGAAGACTTGTTAGCAAGTGAGTTTTTGTCCGAGACTCAGAGAAGTTTTGAATCCAAAACTATGTAATTGATAACTAAATTCCAGAGTGTGACAATATGAAAAGAGTACCACAAAATCTTTCAAGACTTTCTTATAAAGAACTCACCTCGTCTTGGTCACATAGGCTGACTTATTGTTACAATAACCTTTCGTTTCTATATTTTTTTTATGTTTTTATATCTGAGTTGGTCCAGTCTTCAGCTTCCTCCTCACCTTGAGTTTCGTCTAGGTCGGCGGCCTCTTCAGTCTGGTCAGGATCTGCTGCATCTGAGGAGTTGTTAGCCGCCTCTGTGATGTTCACAGGTGGTTGATTCTCCATCAAACCAGAAAGTGCTAGCTTTGGTGACCACTCGAGGACATCGTCAATGATGTTGGACATCCTTCTTTGGTATCTGTACGAACAAAACTCATCACAAGTCAGCCTCTATTGCAAATAAATCAGAAGCTAAAAACTTGCCACGGTATTGAGGTAGCGATTAGATATGATTCCACAAGGCAGCAGAACAATCTTCTCTTAAAGCGGTTTAAGCGAGATTTGAACATGGATGAGAAGGGACAATATACCTGGCCCGAGCAGCCTCATCAGGGGCATGGCGCCGAAGCAGCATGACAACAACAACAGCCACTACTGTGTAGAAAAGCCTAGATGTCCACTTGGGCGGTTCTTCCTCGTCTTTCTTTGGCCAGAAACGGAACAGTTCCTTCAATGTGGCTTCCTCTGCAAGAATGTTGGGGAAGAACCAGACACGCTTTCCCAAAAGAATCCACATAGCACCGAACGCTACTGCTCTCACTGCAATATTCAGGGGAATCAAGAGAGCCTAGTTTCAGTATAAACCGAGTTAAAACTATGTATCACCAGTCTCTGTGACCGGGATAAGCAAGCCATCTATAGCCAGTAAATCATTGCCTAACAGTGCTTAGTGCTAATTCGCTATTCTTTCAATCCTCAATGGTAATTTTTTTAGAGCTAATTATGGAGTCTTCTGAGTGAAAGAGCACTTTCGAGAAAGTGACCTTCAAGGTGAAAACTACACAAGTAAAATACATCAAACAGATATAGAGCTTACCGAAAAGCAAGGACAGAATCATCAAAAGAATGCCCGCGCATGAGTAGAGAACAATCAGTTTGCAACGATGTGGATACACAGGAAACAAACAAATTGCGAGAGTCAATACAGGCCAGAAGAAGGACAAAAGTGTTTGCCAGAGTGGATGCCGCTTTTCAAATGTCCANGCAAAAAAGGCATCAGTTTCAGAGAAAGCTTGATCATCCTGTGTTATAAAGGAGAAATATGAAATCAACACACTGAAATACTGAAGCCGTTGAAGCATATCTGACTCAAAAGCAAACGGAAAAAATAGGCACAACCAAGAACCAAGGGACTTGATGGTGAAAAGTTTCAATCAATCGCATAGTAAGCGGATGAACATCATTTTGAAATAAAACGAGATAACATGTCCAATAGCAAACTTCTCTATGTTTAGTTCTATTCTAACTCCATTAGTCCATTATGAATATATGCAGTTGGAAGAGGAAATAAAAAGCAGTTTGCCATAAGAACAAGCCCAAAATCAACTTACACGGAAAATCTCCAGATGAGCTGGCCAGGTAGATAGCTTTTTCTTCCCGGGACGAAGAGTTTTTGTAACACGATCACAGCGGACCAAAAGGTTCTTGCCCAACAAAACGTTTGCGATATCTTCTGTATCGAGGTCTTTATCTTCTTCCAGAATCTCTTTAACCTCTGGGTGATTCTTCATGAAGCTCACGAAATCTTTTCCTCTGAAATATTCAACTCGTGCTTGCTCCATAACAGCCCATCTAGATTCCAATCCCTTGTCGTCTCTAACTTTCTCAGCAAACAACTGAAACAAATCCTTCTTCACTGCTTTCTTCTAGTAAATGAAAATCAATGTCAAAGAAAAAAAACAGAACAAGCATTTGGGCTAAATGCAAATAACAAAAGGATCATTTCACATTACTAAGGCCAAAAAAATATCAAATTTTCAGACATATAAGTGAATCAATTTACATTACAGAGGTTATAATTTACAACTCACAAATGTGCTGAAAAAAAACAAAACAAAACAAAACAGTGTTAATCCACTTTGACACACACATATCTGCGCATTATTAATATACAATCTAGCAAACAAAAGTTATAAAACTGGCCGGTGAATGATAATCTCATAGGTTTACGCTTCATAGAGATCGAAACAGATCAAACAAAAGGAACGTAACCTAAGAAGACAATTAATTT